CCACTGCCTACAGAAAAGGGGAATTCAACCATGGGGGCACTACTACTACTACTACTACTCATCCCATGCTGGCATCCTCCCATAATCCTCATCAAAACCGCCATAGAAAATCAAGAAGCTTTGCAAATGGTTTTCATTTTGAAAACGTTGAATTCACCGATATAATTTCCGCATCCGCTCCGTCCGGAGCAATCGACTCGACCAAAGGGAGTGAAAAACTGGTGAGGAGACGCCAGAAATCCATGGCGGACTTCTCCATTGCAGCCGATAGCGTTTTCAACAAGACTTACATCAGCAATGGTGAATGTTTTTCAATGACAACGAAGAACTTGGATGTGAGACTGGATGGGGGTTCAAGAATCAATGCTACATCAAATGGGGTTACTGAAGTGAGTAAATTGACACCCATTTTAACAGATGATGTGGGAGGAGGCTCGTTTATGGGTAGTAATGGGATGATGATTGGTGGAAGAAGATCATCAAGCACATGTAATTTGCAGGACACAGAAAAAGGTAACTCTTCCTCATCCATGTGGTCTACATCTTGGAGTTTGAAAACAGATCTTCAAGCACTCTCAACTGCAATGGTCACTAAGTCGATATTTGATGGGTTGCCAAGGTCAACAACTAGGTACAAAGCTTCAATGGATTGATAATCATCCACTAGCAGATCGATCTAGCACTTGTGCAGCTCAATCATCTAAGCCTTGTTTATTTGTGATTTCAAGCAAGGATTTTGAACAAAAACCCAGAAATTTTGAGTAATCTATGTGAGGGAAATTCATCATGTACACCCCTTAATACCATTTTAAGCACGATTGAACATCAATTTCTTTAAAAACATTACTGCCACAATTAGCTCATTTCATAAGGAAGCGCCTGCAAATTGCCACCTAATTAACCATAGTTCTACCTTCTATGGATGAGACGATTTATGTCGGAAAAGTACTTCCCTACCGTATCAATCTATCAAGAATTGAAAAGATCGGAAAAGAGATATTCGGTAATTCTATTCTCCTTTTGCTCTCTCAAATTCGGAAGTAATCCCAGTAATAATATGAGTCGTCTTATCATCATACTCCTACATGGTAAATCCGCTAGCATGTCCCTCACCAAGAGTTCCAATATGAGTCGTCTTATCATCATACTCCTACATGGTAAATCCGCTAGCATGTCCCTCACCAAGAGTTCCAATATGAGTCGTCTTATCATCATACTCCTACATGGTAAATCCGCTAGCATGTCCCTCACCAAGAGTTCCAATATGAGTCGTCTTATCATCATACTCCTACATGGTAAATCCGCTAGCATGTCCCTCACCAAGAGTTCCAATATGAGTCGTCTTATCATCATACTCCTACATGGTAAATCCGCTAGCATGTCCCTCACCAAGAGTTCCAATATGAGTCGTCTTATCATCATACTCCTACATGGTAAATCCGCTAGCATGTCCCTCACCAAGAGTTCCAATATGAGTCGTCTTATCATCATACTCCTACATGGTAAATCCGCTAGCATGTCCCTCACCAAGAGTTCCAATATGAGTCGTCTTATCATCATACTCCTACATGGTAAATCCGCTAGCATGTCCCTCACCAAGAGTTCCAATATGAGTCGTCTTATCATCATACTCCTACATGGTAAATCCGCTAGCATGTCCCTCACCAAGAGTTCCAATATGAGTCGTCTTATCATCATACTCCTACATGGTAAATCCGCTAGCATGTCCCTCACCAAGAGTTCCAATATGAGTCGTCTTATCATCATACTCCTACATGGTAAATCCGCTAGCATGTCCCTCACCAAGAGTTCCAATATGAGTCGTCTTATCATCATACTCCTACATGGTAAATCCGCTAGCATGTCCCTCACCAAGAGTTCCAATATGAGTCGTCTTATCATCATACTCCTACATGGTAAATCCGCTAGCATGTCCCTCACCAAGAGTTCCAATATGAGTCGTCTTATCATCATACTCCTACATGGTAAATCCGCTAGCATGTCCCTCACCAAGAGTTCCCCGGTAATAACAGAGTAACCAACTGCTTCTGTCTACTTCAATATCATTCGTCACTCGTGTCGTGTAGTATAGCAAAGCGCGAGAAAAACTCAAATTCGTTTGACAACTAAATGAGCATTCACTAGACAGCCAGATATGGAATGAAAATTAGTTTGACAGCAAAACAAGGTGATACATTAAACAAAATTCAACGTGTAGAAGTGTACCCAAGTATCAGAGCAACCAAACAAAAAATAAAAAACCCACAATTTAGACTCCCTAGACAGCAAAACATGGTGAATGACAACGTTAATGCGTCTAAAAAAGAGAAGTTCCCTTTCCCTTCTTGTCACCACCAATCTCAAAATGCTTGCATCTCTGCAATAGCAAACAAACATAAGGTATGCATTAATGAAAACCATATTCAAGGACAACTAAAATAAGAGATCTATCCAACCATATAGCTGATTGATATCAACAAGAGACACCAATGAATGAGAAATTTGCTTTGAATACACACCTTAATGGCATGCTGTGACACATGCTTGCAACCCTGGCATTGCAACCTTAGAACAATCTTCTTCGTAGTTTTGGCCTGGAAGGAAAGTTAAACTCTCATGATTGTTTATTCAAGGAAAATAAACAAAATCTGGTTTTGGGTTGAACAGATCAACCATCATGGAAAGAGATCTTCACCTTCTTATGAAAGACGGGCTTGGTCTGTCCTCCATATCCTGATTGTTTACGATCGTAACGACGTTTCCCTTGAGCAGCAAGGCTGTCCTTACCCTTCTTATATTGGGTAACCTTGTGCAAGGTATGCTTTTTGCATTCCTTGCTCTTGCAGTAAGTCTTCTTTGTCTTGGGAACGTTCACCTGTTTAGCAGAAGAGTTGAATATCATTCAGAAAAGAAACAAAGAATTATAAGATCATACATTAGAACAACTCTACATGAAACATAAAATTACTATACAGAAATTATTGTAGAGAAGAACATATTCGGAAACAACGCGCAAAAAATGCTTGAATAGAGAAGACAATTACAAACATATTCTTGAGTGAATTTCATAGTCAATCTACAATGCCATACCTAGTCTATCGAGTCTCACTTAAACCAAATCTACAGCATTAACAATCCTAAAAATTCAACATAGCTACAAGAAGAACTCACACTGAAAGGAACAGCATAACCTTCTTACAGACCAACAACGCCCTTCATAAATGCCAATAAACAACTCTAGAAGTTATTTTCAAACCAAAACAATTCCGATATTGATCAATCCATTATCCTAGAGTACAAAGAATTTTACGAGGCTTTAGCTTCCATCGTTCGGAATCAAACAGAATATGATTATAAAACGAAGAACAACAACCTTCAGTCATCCTGGTTGAAGTTAAATTCCGATCACCAAACGCAGGATAGAATCATGAAAAGAGTGAGAAAATCCAAACAAACAGCAAAAAACCGGTGGAAGGAAGATTACCATGATGGGCCCTGGACCTCACTACTTCTCCGAAGAAACCCTAATCGGCAAACGGATTGAAACAAAAAATTCCTCCTCTTTTATACTTGAATAACTATGGACATTTCAGTCCGATTATGGGCCATATTTCTGATAACTTTAGCCCACGGTCTATTACAAGCCCAAATATTTGGCCCAATTATGATTATGGGCCCAACGTGTATGGTATGAATTTCTGGTAACTCTAGCCCATTGGTATTTTATCTTATTTTTTTAAAGAAAAAATAAGTTTTTTTTTTATTATTTATTATTAAAGAGAAAAATTAGTTTATATCCCTCAAATTAGTTTAACTCTAACTCTAGTCCATTATTTATTTATTTTTATGTATGATCTGGATTTCTATGATCAGAGGACGAGTTTTTTGAGTCAGCTCACCTTCGTAGGATCATGACCCTTTGTCCCGGTCACTGTAACATGTGTGTAGTCCGAGACACAAGGGGCATGCACATAAGGTCAGAAGTTCAATTTCTCATCACAAAAGACCGAAAAATATTATTAAAAAAGAAAATATTTAATAAAAAAAAATTGTATTAATTAAAATTAAGTGAGGATGGGTAAGGTTTAGAGTCATGGGATTCACGACGAATCCCAAAACTTGTAGAGCTTTTATTTGGAGTCACATCTCCCCCTCACGTTCTCTCCCATTCAAAGCTTTATTTTGCATAATCTCTCCACGCGCTTCAACGCTCATCCAAAATACTTACTTAAATATCTTATTTCTTTCTATTAATTATTATATTTTATTTTCAAACTAATTCTTTATAATATATACAAACATTATATATCTAACTTAACTCATTCCATCCGATCCGATATTTGAATTTTCGTCACACACTTCAAACTATGGGATTTGAAGTATTTCATCATGTCGTAAATTTGAAATTCATAAATTTAATACTCAAAATTGAACCGTATTTCATATGTTTACTAACAACAAAATATATATTATTTATTTCGGCTCGTTACGTATCATCATCATGGGTAGTAAACCGCCAAGTGTCTAGCTCTAATACCATTTGTAACAGAAGAAACTCATCGCTAACAAATATTGTCCGCTTTGATCCGTAACGTATTGCTATCAGCCCCACTGTTTTAAAACTCCTCTGGTACTAAAAGGTTTCTACACACTTATAAAAAAAAATATTTTGTTTCTCTGTCCAACTAATATGAGATCTGGCATCCTTGCTGGCATACCACTTGTAATAGTCACTGCTAGATATTTTTTTGATTTGAGATATTTTTAAATTTAATTAAAAAAAAAAGTTTATTATTTCCAAAGTTTTATTTTTTATTTTTAGAATGTAATTTTGATTAAAATTGGAATTCACGTTATTTGATAAAATAATTTAGTTAAAAAATTGAATAATTGACATGTCAGCATGTGTGGACCCCACCAAACGCCATGGCTTTTGTACAGCTACACGCATATATCTTGAAGCGATGGTGTTCTTGAAGGCACTCGTATGCCAAAAACCTTCTCACGCTTCCATGGCCAAATCCCCAAATTCCAAATCTAACCCTCACCCTTTCCTCTGCTGCTTTGGATTTTCCGGCAAGCACCGTCGCTTTAAGCCTCTCAAACCTGCCGCCGCTCACCGGAAAGGTCCCATTTCTTGGATGAGGTTTCACTCCAAGCAGCCGCCGCCGTCGCCGTCGCCGTCAGTTCAGTTCAACCTGTCTAATACGGATTCCGACCGGCTCTCCTCAAAATCTATTTCTCCGACCGCCGCTTTTAACTCGAATGAAGATTTTACCGTCGCGGTGCCGGTGGCGACAAATCGTGCCGGCGGGGAGATTGTCACGAGGCCAGAAAATGTATGTGAATTTTCTTGGAAATTGTTTAATTTGTCTAAAATTAAAATTTATTTATAGTGACGTTAAAATTTTAATTTTGTATTTTTTTTTTAATTTTAGGTAAAAAACGACATCCTTCCCGAAAAAATCATTCGTGAAAGTTGCGAACAGTGGAACTCGCCAAAAAAACCTAGCGCTCGAAGTGAATCAAGATTCTCATTAACTCGAAAACTCGAGTCGTTTCGATCAGGTCGGTTCGCTCAACCCGCCTCACCGACGACAAAAAAGAATCTGAAATCCACCAGCCTGCATTCACCCACCATATCACTCCACCCGCCTCGCATAAACCAAGTCAAGGAACCGCTAGCAAGTATGCGGGTCGGGTTAAAGCCAAACAACGGCGAGACGAGGCAAAGGTACCAATCGATGGCGGGAATGTCAATTTTGATGATAACGTTGGTGATCATGGTAGCGTGGGGAAGACTATGTGCCATTTTATGCACGGCAGCTTGGATTGTTATGGTTACGAGCTTAAGGTCAATCATTGAAGATTATGATACAGTTCAATTTTTTGAATCGGATTCCTATTCTGAAGGGTTTAAGAAGAAATTAGTGGTTTTAAAAGGGTTTGTCTGCAGAAATCAGACTCAGAATCAATCCAAGAAATTTTAGAGGAATTAAAATTTTTGAATCATTTTTAATTATGCTTGATATGTATTTCAAATTTCTCCCGATTATGTTTGGAAAAATACATTTTATTCTATAGCATAAACTTGGTTACGATGTAATGTGAAATATCTATACGATAAATATATATTTAAATTTAAATAATTTTAGGCGAAATAATAAGATGCAATAATTAAAATTATTATTTATTTAAAAAATATATAAAAATGAAACATTGGGTTAAAAATTAAAATAGAATAAAATTTGGGAAATTTTTTGAATTTTTACATTTTTGTTGGGTGGAAGTTTGGAATGACCTAATTTGACTAGCACGTGTCTTGTAATACAATGCAAGTGAATATAAAAATATTCAAGAGGTAAATTTAAAATAAATAAATTAAGTAAATAAAAGAAAATAAATAAATAAAGTTTTCTAGAAGGCTTTTAATTAATTTACCACTTTTTTTTTATGCTTTTTGGTTGGGAAAGTTGGGCTTGCATTCCACATTTCCACTTTTTTTTTTTATATATTAAAAAAAATAGAATGAGCGTATAAAAAAAAATGTAACTTATCGAATGATCAAACTGCAACGGGGAACAAGCACGCTTGATATGACAAGGAATCACTACAAGGGAAGTAAGATTCGGATTACCTTGTTGATCCAATATCTCAAAACAAGAACATTGTTTGAGATTCGAATCACTCCACAAGTAAGATCGATCATGTCTAGCTTGAATGATTCTTGTTGATCAAATAGCTTGAATGATTCTTGTTGATCAAATATCTCAAGGCAAGAACACTTGCTTGAGATTTGAATCACTCCACAACCAAAATTGATCATGTCGAGCTTGAATGATTCTACATGCAACCTAAACTACATAGAATTGCAAAGAAACATAACAATTGGCTAAGGAAGCACAAATGCTCATCTTACTGTATTTTCAAGTCCACTTACAAATACAACTTACATGGCTTTGTGTTAAGGATATTTAGTAATAAATTATAGTTTACCATATATATTATATTTGATATTTTATTATAAGGCAAATATCTAACATTTGCCTTATTATTATAGATATCTTTCCATTTATTGTTATTTCCATTTATTACTATTTCTATATCCTTGTAATTTATTTGATTATAAATAAGATAACTTTCACACCATTTAGGTGGGGTGGATTCAGCAAACATTCACATGGTATAGAGTCATTTTGGTTTAGCAACCTAGATCCTTTCTTTTCAATGGCTTTTGAAATCTTCTACGGTTCTTCTCCACCACCACTGTTGTCTTTGATGCCGCAGGGGCAGTCATGGCTGTCACATGCAGAGTCGATTGATTATTCTTCGGCTCCACCTTTTTGACCTCCAAATCATCCTTCGCCATACTCTGTACATACAACCTCACCTTTTCCAAACATAGCCTCTTTCATTTTCTTCCCAATTTTTCCTTCATCCTTCACAAAAACCCTAATCTTAGGATCTTCATCAGCATTCCTCTTCGAAAATATACAGAATCTCAATAAGCCCATCGACCTTCTGCAGAGATTTACCTTTGGAATCTGGGCGCCGCACTGGCATCTTCGCCAACCAAGTTGCCGCCACCCTTCTCGCCAAAATTGGCTCCTTCGCCCCAATGTGGCGACTCTTCCAGCTGCCCTTCTCGCCAAAATTGGCTCATTCGCCCAATGTGGCGACTCTTCCGGCTTCAACATTGTCTTTGTCCCTTGCTCTAGGGTTCCCCTTCTACTTCTTGGGGTTAGACATATTCTCACCAGAGCCAAGTCAGCATCGTCGCTAAACGACAATCCCTCTTCATGGGTTAGACATATTCTCACCGAAGCCAAGGCAGCATCGCCGCTGAGCGGCGATCTCTCTGCAGTTTTCGATGGCCAAGAAAGTGTTTCTCTACGCCTCCTCTGAACCAGGTTGTTAACATCTTCACGAAAAGTGTTTCTCAACCTCTTTGAATTTTTCAGATTCAAGCTTCACGTTCGTTTAAATCCGACGCTTAGCTTGCGGTGGGGTGTTAAGGATATTTAGTAATAAATTATAGTTTACCATATATATTATATTTGATATTTTATTATAAGGCAAATATCTAACATTTGCCTTATTACTATAGGTATCTTTCCATTTATTGTTATTTCCATTTATTACTATTTCCATATCCTTGTAATTTATTTGATTATAAATAAGATAACTTTCACACCATTTAGGTGTGGTGGATTCAGCAAACATTCACACTTTGTATAGCCTCAAAATAAAACTATTAAAGTCATTTGAGTCCTAACATTCATACTTTATGGTCATGTGCGAGGTCTCTGGTTCAAGTTTAGGATGGCCCAACTACGCCAAAGAAAATAATAAAAGAACAGAAGAAGTATCAGTTGTCTCGGGGGATATAATAGCTCAATTGACAGAGTTCTGCTCTTGCAATCGGTTGCAACAATTATGCTAGTTTGATATTTTCTTTATCGATGATAATTTATTATTTTATTACGAACATTTATCTGTTAGGTAATGCTAGAGCTTAATAAATATAAAATAAAGTTGAGGTAAATATGATATTTTATTTAATAAATGATATTTAAATTTAGGCTGAATTAATTTAATTAAGCTCTAAAACTCATAATTAATCAAAGCATATAATTCCAACCCCGAATTTTCCTTTTTTTTTTTTTTTTTACTATTTCACGAAAATAAATATTTTTCAGCCAATCTAAAAACAAAATAATAAAAAGAAATTATAATTATTTCAAATTATTAACACTCCCACTGAATTTCAGGGCTTCAGTCAATTTAGCTTCACGTATTTCCGAATCTGCCCCTCTTCTCGTTTGATCAAATTGACCTTCAAGCCGTCCTTCATGTAGAAAGTTAGGGCAAGCTTCGGCTCCACCGGATGCCCCTTCACCACCGCCACCCGGTACCGGCTGATGATCGAGGCGGCGACGTATTTCATTTGATAGTACGCGAAATCCCTTCCCAGACACAGCCGAGGACCGCCGTTGAAGGCGGTGAATCGATACGCTGATTCGCTCATGAACCGACCGTCTTTCATCCATCTCTCAGGTTTGAATTCGCGACAATCTTTCCCCCAAATCGCTTCCATTCTTCCCATCGCGTATATAGCGTAGATGATTTTTGTTCCTTTCTTCAGAATCGTTCCGTCTGGGAATACATCGTCCTCCACGACCTGAATCGGACAGGTAATTGATTAGGTTTCTGAAATCTTTCGAAATAGGAATGTGTATGAGTGATTAATTACCTCTTTGTGATCGACTGGAACTGATGGATATAATCTTAGGGCTTCGGAAATCGCCGCGTGCAAATACTCCATTTTCTTGATTTCCTCTGGTTTGAACACTAACGAATCAAATCGGAACTCTCTGGTTTTGGCCTCTTCTCGTTCGCCGACGATTCTGTAAATTTCTGCTAGAATTTTGTCCTCCACGTCGGGATTTCGATCGAGCAACCAGAAGAACCAACTCAATGCGACGGAAGACGTGTCTCTTCCGGCGAGTATGAAATTGACGCAAATATCTCTGAGAAACTTGTCGGAGAATGGCCGCCGTTGCTCGTCTCTTAGCCTCATAAATACGGTTAATAGGTCGGATCTTTGGTTCTCGGCTTGCGGTTGCGCCGTCGTGGAGAGTTCTCTCTTCCGTGTTTGAATCACGTCCTCTGCAAATTCGTCGACGGCTTGTATCGATTGCTTCAGCTTCTTCTCCACTCCCAAGTTCAGGTACCTGCTTAATGGTAAATTAATTAAGCAATTAGTTGTTAATTACTTCTAATTATAGAGTTTTTTCTTAACAGATTGTCTGAAACATGATTTGATTACACTATTGTAAATACCTCAAGATTTTCCATACGAACGTAGGTGTGATGAAGCGTAGAACAGTGACTTCAGTCGCATCCTCAAAGGCCTTAGCAAATGGAATCTCCGGCAAGCCGCCGCGCAAGCAGCCGGGATCCACCCCAAAGGCAATCATACACACATTGTCAAACGTCAATCTCAGAAGAACATCCTGCAGGTCCACCGCCGTCCTCCGTCCCAGGAAATCCTCCAACACTGTTTCCAACCTCGAGTGCACGAGCTCCACCAGCGACTCCACCGTCATCTGTCGGAACCTCGCCGAGTGAAACTCAATGCTGGCCACCTTCCTCTGTCGTTGCCACGTCTCATCGTCAGCCCCGAATATTCCATCACCGAGAAGGTCTCTCACCGTGTCGCGGAAGAATGGCCCTTTAGGGTAGGAAGGAAATTTGGTCTTGAGAAGGTGCTCCAAGTTTCGGGGATCAGCAGTGACTACACAATTGAGACTACTAAACCACGGGCCTCGAAATTGAAACGTACCCTTATGATGACGGAGGAGGTCAGTAATCCATTCGTAGAGATTCCCACGTGCTGCTGTGATCAGAGATGGTAACATTCCAACGATCGGCCAAACAGGCAAGCCATATCGTCGTTGTTGTCTAACGACATGGATGGCCAAGAACACGAAAAGAGCGAAAGAGATCTCCAAGATTTGGAAGTCAAGGAGCGGCCAGAGCCCAAAGTTTCCAGCGGAAACCAAAGCGGGCAGGGCGGAGGAGGAGGAGAGGTTGCCGGAATCCATCATAGGTTTGTGATGAAGGAATGGAATTGCATGGGAAAACATGGAGGAAGCTTTGATGGTAAAATGGTGAGGTTAAGTTATAATAGTCATGCAATATAAGGCAACCAAAAGCATGCAAAGATGGCTTTCTTGTTTGCCACTTTGTTTTGGGTTAATAAAATGGTTTCAATTTGGTGAGCTGAAAATGCTTAATTTTCTCTGTTGCTTTTGGGAGGAAGATGGCCTAAATAAGCTACTTTCCTTTTATAACTATGACCAACATTGTGACATTTCGATTAAAATTATAGTATTTTAGCGGGTTAAGCTTTATTCAAATAGTCGAATCCAGTTTATTTTAAGTGGGTTTTATTTACTGTCAACTTCTCCTTACTCGATAGTTATATGCTAGAAGCCGTTGTTGGTGTCTTTTTGCTTGCATCACATATAACATCAATTACAATCTCTCAAATTTTGCCTTCAAAGCCCCTGTGTTCTAAAACTTTCTACTTGAACCGAGACTCGAGCATATGTCGTTTGGCTGTAGATAACGCAAGAATGAATTGACTTAACTTACTTCTTGCTGGGAGGCGAGTGCCGTACAATCGTAAGCCCGGTGATAAATGACCGAAAATTATTCTTTTTTTTAATAATTTGGGTGGGAGTTTGTTGATTGGAAGTCATTGTTTGGGTACAATGTAATGTGTGTGGGGAAATTCTTTCTTTGGTTTTTGAGTGTCCACTTGGTTTGGAGGATGGAAGTGGGTGTGACTGATGACCTACTAATTAATTAATTAATTCCAAACTCTAATTTTTGTGGTTGATTTTTTATTTTTGGTTTATTTATTTACAAAATTTTGGTTCCTCGCTTTTAAATAATAAGAATATTAAATAGGTAAAAGTTTATAGTTTATTATTTGACACGTGGCACAATAATTTTACATGGATACGGTTTGCTAGAAGGGATTTTCCAATAAAAATAAATTAAAAAAATTAATCCATTTGAAAAATAATGGTTATTCTACGTACATTTGGAAAGGAAAAATAATTAAAAAAAAACCATATAATTATAGAGTTATTAATGATTTATTTTTGTTTTGGAGTTGTTTATTACCTTTTAAAAAATAAATATTTTTTTCCTTAAGATATGAGTGTTCATCTGACTTGATAACCTAACTAACTCAGATTACTTAACTCAATTAGTTAGGTTAAAAAAAAAAAAAAGATTTAGATTGAGTTGAATTTTTACAAATCTGAAAAAATGAAATTCTGATTCCGTGTTAACACTTTACAGCTGAACATATGGTTACAGTCCAACTCAATCTTATCTTACTCTTAAAAAGGTTGAGCGTTTATAATCAATATGAGTGATCGATGTATATTTGAATTTTATGAAATTTTAGTTATTAATTTAAAAGTACTGTGAATAACTATGATTTTTTTAATAATAAAAAAAAATTCAACCACCCAACTTGAAAATAGAAGGTTGAGTTGAGTTGGGTTGTAAACTCTATTCGAATTGTTCCGATCACCAATCCAACTAATTCAAAATTTCTGAATGCGTCTAAAAGATTTTTCCAACTCAACCCGACTACATTCTTAGTTGTAGATACCATTTGACAAGTGAAAGCTAGATGTAAAAATTAGATCATAAGTATCCAAACGATTACTTTTAAAAAATTTTAAAACTAAAAATAAAACAAATATAAAAGTCGAACAATCAAAATGGACATAACAAAAGTCGAAAACGAAAATTGAACCGGCTAAGAAGTTCAGAAACAAAAATTAAAACGAACCCACTATAAACATATTTTTAATCTTGTAAACTCAAATAACATTTAATTTTACATTTTCTAAACATAATTTTAAATTAAATGCATGTTTAAAATGATTTCAAAATAATTTTAATAATTTCAAAATTACTTATACATAATTTAAAATTAATTTCTAAATATAATATTTATTTTTCTACACTTCCGTAGAAGTCCAAAAAGTAATAATTTTTTTTTATTAAATTTAATAATGTGATATATAATATTCAATTTAAAATTTTGATGACTACAATGGATTTAACGGTTTCTATTACGTAAAAATAAAATAAATTATATGACATAAAAATATTATCCTTTCCATTAATTAAATATGTTTGTACAGTTGATCAGTCAATATCTCCCAAACATATTTTAAATAAAAAATATATATTAAATTCCTCCCAATTATTTGGGTATACGACACATTAAAAAAAACTTTTTAATTTTTTAAAATTCAACGGTAGTAAAATAAATTAAAATTTTATGAATTAATTATTTATACGACGATCAAAATATTTTAATCTTAATAAAATTTGTTTCGATTGAAAAAAATTTACAACCATAATAATTAAAATAAGTCTAATATATATATATATAATTTTAGAAAAATAAATGAATAAGTACTGATAAATGTGATAAAATTTAACGAATATTCTAAATTTTGTAGCCAATCAAAATATGCCACCTGTCACTACACAGAGTCCACAAAAAACATATCCCTTATTGGGGAAGATTCAACGGATTAAAGCAATAATATTATTGGTCAAAATTTTAATTTGACCATCGTTTTAAATAAATAATTATTTTTTTCGATAGGATAAATTAATAATCAAAATCTAAAATCTTTTATTTATTAATTTTTGGGAAAAATTAAAATTTTGAGTAAGTCTCACTCGCAATTATATATAAACATCGAAGTGTCAAATCTTTTATTTTAATCATGGGTTCGGGAAAATGAAAATTTGAGTAAGCCTGACTCATGCTTATATATAAATATCAACCGAGAAAAAAATTATCTAAAAAAAATTGTAATTTAATTTAATTTGTATTTTACTCGAACAATTGTATTTCTTATGATAAATTCATCTGTGATTTTAAATATTACATTTTTAATCTCTATATTCAAATATTATTTAACTAAAAAAGAATATAAATTCTTTAGCTAAAAATATAAATTTTAATTTATTTAAGATTAAAATTAAAGGAACGGAATTATATTTAAATTGAAATTAAAAAACAATTAAAAGCCAGCAGGGAGCACGTGTGCAATATTATTATTGGAATATAAATATATAATTTAGAGTCCTTAAAGATTTTCAACAGTTTCAGTTGCAAGCAAGCAAGAAAATAAATTGGATATTGAAAAAGAAAAATAGCACTTAAATATTTATGTTTTTTTAAAGGAAAAAAATACAAAATTACGATTATGCCCTCATTCAATAAATTTTTTATTATTTACTTTTAAAAGAATTAAAAAATAAATCTCAATCATGACAAAATGAAGAGAAAATGACGTGGCAAGTAATATTTGGACATTTGCTGCACGAAGAGATTCTTTTTCTTTAATTAAAATATATAGAAGTTAATATCTAATTATTAACAATTTTTTTTTTTTTTTTACTTTTTAAGATTTAATTAAATAATTAATTTCTACATTTTTTATTTTTATAAAATTCCACTTTTATTATATTCCAACTAATTTAAATATTAATTAATTTTCATTTTGTTCTTGAATTACTAGAATTTCTATAAAATAAAAAAATTAATCATTAGAGTCAATTTAACTGTAATAAACTTTATCGTCGAAGGTAAAATGACTAAAATACCCTTAAAGTATTTTTAAAAAATAAAAAAATAATAATAATCTGATTGGTGACATAGGAAGTCAACTGGATACACAAGAAAAAAAATAAATTAAAATAGAAATTAAAAAAATGGTACAAATTAGAAGGCCACTTTTACAGAATCTGCAGTCTCACGCATGGTTCTAAAAAGCCAATTCTCTTCTTTCTTCCTTTTCTCTCCCTATTTAAACCACACCGTTCACAAAGAAAAGGAGTCGAGGTGGAGGTTGGGGTCGAGGTCGGAGTTGGTGTCGGAGACCTAGACTGACTCTTAATTTCTCATGGAGTCTACGGCGATTACGTCTTTCTTTTCGTATCTTCTTCTTCTTGTTTTCTTTCTTCTTGGTTCGGTAGAAGGAAGTTTCGGTGCAAAATATGGAATCGGTCGAGAGGAACTAGCTCGACAAGAAGCGGACCGAGTCGTGGGGCTGCCGGGACAACCACAGGTGAAATTCAAGCAATATGCTGGGTATGTCACTGTCAATGAGAGTCATGGAAGAGCATTGTTTTATTGGTTCTTTGAAGCCATTGGTAACTCTCATCAAAAGCCTCTTCTTCTTTGGCTTAATGGAGGTACTACTAACCTAAAAAAACCTACATTTTTTAATTCCTTAATTTTAATTATTTGCATTTATTGTCGTGTTTTTTTGGTGTATTAATTCGAATTTCCTACGATTTTTAGTTATTAAAAAAAAGATAAAAAAAGTCAAAGGTCGTATTCACATAATTATATTTATTTTTTTAATGAAAAAAATAATTATATATAATAATTGACATAAAATGACAAGTTATTACTATATGCATTTAAAAAAAAAAAAAATCAGTAAATACAAAGTTTTTATATGGTCATGTAACAACCAATATTCGACAACGACCTTTCAACATTTTGAAGATTGGTTCCAATTTTATTTTATTTTTTAAAATTTTAGTTGTCATTTAATGATTGTTTTATAATAGGAAAATATCTGTACATTTAGTTTTAAATTTATATTATATCTAGTATATATGACACTCGAGTAAAAGAGAAATACATGAATGTGTAAGATGAACACGACTCCCATAATGGTATGATATTGTTCACTTTGAGCATAAGCTCTCGTGGCTTTGTTTTGGGCTTCCCAGAAGGTCTCGTACCAATACAGAGAGTATTCATTGATTATAAACCCATGATCATTCCTTAAATTAGTCAGGATTTTTATTCAACACCTCCCCTCGAACAAAGTACATCTCCCCTTAATCGAGGCTCGACTCCTTCTCTTTTGGAGTCTTAGTCATTTTTTTACTATGCCTTCGAGAAGCCTTAACTCCTTTCTTTTTTGGAGTCCTTTGTTCGATATTTGAGGATTCTATTGACTTGGCTAACTTTAGGGCATGACTGTAATACCATATTAAATGAACACGACTCTCCACAATGGTATGATATTGTCCACTT